CCAGTGCGTTGTGATTGGCCGAATACCTCAAGCGTATGACGGAAATGTTACGCCCCTTGCCATACTGTGATGCCTTGTCCCGGCCGGAGCGACGAGACAAAAGCATTAAAACCCATTATAAACGACGCATTTGTTGCATCCAGTGGGGAACAATGTTTAAATCCATTTAATTTTAATATTTGGCCACATGCAATCTCAATTTTTTTTATTTTGAAATTGCGGTGTACAATAAATGGCATATTTAGAAATAGGTTGATGTATTCTCCTGTATTGGCAAAGGTTTAAATGATTTACGTTACAAATCTAGTGAGATAATGCACACTGTTTTCCCAGATGAACGTTAAGCAATTCAAATTCACAGCAAATGCAGAGGAAGAGTCACACATACAGTCTTTACTGGTAAATTACCGGTAAGTTACCATTAAGAGATGGAAATCATGTGTGAACAGGACCTTTTCAAAAATCCCAGTAAATTTGTTCTGGCAATCATATCGTTATTATGGAGATGATGTGATTACTCTGAGCTGTTTACAAAGCTCCGCTGCATTTTAATAAATTTTTCTATGTAAATAGGCCTATGCGCTATATGGACATCTTTGACCATTGCGCCTCGTAGCTTTTTGTCACGCTTCTCCATTCATCAGGGCTGCGATGCACATCTCGTGTTTATAAGAGCAAAATATTCTGATTGGCTGGTAATGTTAGTTTGGTTGAGAGTGAAAGCTGTGCTCCTCTCACACCATTGGTAGGCGAACTCATGGACTCGAAAGTGATATCAACAAGTTTTTTTTAAATGTAGGATTATTTTTTTCTGCAGCCAAACACTGCACGCCGGAGAACTTTAAGCCCTGCTGACTGCCACACATACTCCTCAAAACATCAGATTCATCCGTGCTGGAGCCGTGCCGGCGCACAACCCACGCAAGGAAAATAATTCCACACAGCTGCAATTGCAGGTTTTCAAACAGAGATGGCGACAAAGATGCAAAACTTACCGACTGCAGCTTTAAATAAAGTCTAATCAGAAAAAGCTATATTTATATTTTTACCTGGTTTTGAGTTATATTGTGAGGTTTTCCCTTAAATAATTTTTATATTGCTGTAAATGGGGTTTATAGTCTATATAAACTATTCTATTATGTTCTGCT